GTGTGTGGACTCAATTTGTGCTTAGCGAGACCATGAAATATTCCAGTGCACTAAAGCGGCCGCTAATGTGCGGAGACTGGAAACTAAGTCTGCCGAAAACTATTCTGCACAGCTCTTAAGCCTCCAAATACTGACCTAAACTACAACTAGACGGTTTCTATTGCAATTTCTATGGTATTTCCCTATTTTCAACACATATATAGCACAATTTCTATTTCTATTAGCTGAAAGGCAATTTAAGACAAAAGTGTTGACACGTTTGAGCAAAACAGTCACTTTCTATCAGCGTCCTTCCATAGTTTCAAAAAACATCTTTTTCATCGATAGTCAAGCCCCCCTCTTCCCCTTTTCAATGTTGAAATACACTCCATGGACACTGTCACATGGTTACAACATTGAAAAGGGGAGAGGGGGTCGAAATGTGAAAATTGGAGATTGAAAAACTCGCGCGTTCAACAAAACAGGTCTTTTTCGGCGAGTGTCTCAACTGCTTTTGTCCATGATTGTGGATTTGTTCATGATTAAAAATGCTGGAGAGGGCTTTGTTTTTGCTGTAGAAATATTGTGGCGTCTTTTTGCATACAGTGTCTACAGCTTTGATACACTGATGTCGAGTGTGGTTTTATACAGTGAAACTGGAAAATTTCTGCAAAACTTGTTGAACTTTTAATACATTAACACAGCATTTTCGTGCCAAACACAGCTATTTTTACTCATGGAAAGAAATTTGATTAGGGCAGAGTTTGATCATGGCCTGGGTAACCACTTCTAAACGGTCGATGTACATCATGCAATCAACAAAACAAGGCTATAATTTGTAATTTTCATCAAGCTTCGTCTAATTAAACACTTAATTATACCCATGTGCCTAAAACTTACTCTTTGTTTCAAAATTAGTTTTCAAAAATTCAGTCATTGAACAGCTTGCCTAGACTCTTGCCCATGGGGCATGAAAGCAGGGAAGGTTACTTGCCAGAGAGGAAAATGTAGTTGTCCTGGACAAGCAGATGGGGTTATTTTCAAGCCCTGTATGGCATTTCCATCATTCAGTTCAAAGCCTCATACGCCTACTGGTATGAAAAGAAACGATGACAATGATTGCAATGACGATGATGATTATGATGATGATGATGACGACGACAAAGATGATGATGATGATGATAACAAAGATAATAAAGGAAATGAAGTTTTTGTTGATTATTTAAATAATCATCATAAACTTCATCACCCTCATTAAAATCAGTTGATTGGTAAATAAATTCATTGACAATAGGTAAATACCTGTAGATATAACACTGTGATGTTGTTGCTACCACAAGATGGTTGAAAGCTAGTGAAGTCTTGATGATGCGGTCTCGGAAGTCTGAAAGAACATTTTAATACAACCTCAATACACAAATATTGTGCAACAAGGATCAAAAGACACTCAAGGTCAAAGTATTACCTAATGATTCTTTAACATCATTGGTTACATCTCTCACTACAATACTCTTGCGATCTGTGACAGTAACTTCAAAGTTCTTCCACTCAAGACGCCTGCCAAGCACAAGAATGCTGCATTATTGAAAATAAAGACACTTTTAAATGAAGACATGATTGATCGTCGCAGTTATGCACACAACTTAAGCAGTTGTGAAATTAAAACCTGAAAAAAAAATCGGGCCTGAACGGGATTCGAACTCATGATCTCTGTGATACCAGTGCAGTGCTGTACCAACTGAGCTATCAAGCCATCTGGGTGCTGCTCACATTGAGAGTTCATAATATATTATGTCTTGTCCATAATCATGTCTTCATATCTTTCTCCCCAGTTCAAATATACAGTCGAACCTCGATTATCCGGAGCTTGATTATCTGGACTATTCGATTATCCGGACTTTTTTTGCTGGTCCCAATTTTTTCATGAATATTAATTAGTTGTGATCTTGAAAACTCAAAGTCGCAAAAAACCCAATAATCCTTTCAAAAGACTGTTGAAACAACATATTATCCTGTACGCTTTTCAAAATTCACAAGTGCGATGAGACAAAGAAATATTCTGATGTATTCAGCTGATATCTGATTGGCTCAATTGTTTTGTTACCAAGGGAATTTCATCCTTGATTAGTTCCTTCC